TCTATCTATCTATCTATCTATCTATCTATCTATCTATCTATCTATCTATCCTATCTAATATGTACTGGTGTTTTGCCTATATATACTCTAGTGTGAATGTATGGATCCCCTGGATCTGGAGTTACAGACAGTTGTCAGCTGCCATGTGGTGCTAGGAATTGAACCTAAGTCCTCTGAAAGAACAGTCAGTGTTCTTAACTTGCTGAACTGTCTTTCTAGTCCAACAAGGACAATTTTATCAGGTAACAGTCATAGCATTTACTCTTAGATAGACACTGTTTTAATTGCATTAAATAAGCTTTATCATTTGATGCTCATGACAGTCCCATTACCCTCTACTTTTTACGGGTATGTAATGATATTTCATTTGTATTTTAATAAATAAAACTTGCCTGAAGTTCAGAGAGTAAATCAGCACTACAGACCTGGCAGTGGTGACACACACCTTTAACACCAGTAGCCATGCTAGTTTGCTATAGAAACAGGCAGTAGTGATGCACGCTACTAGGGAGATTCCTGGATGCAGGATCACCATTTCGGACTGAGGCAGAGGTAAGAGCCAGTGGCTGGCTGTTTTGCTTTTCTGTCCTTCAGGTTGAACCCCAATTTCTGTCTCGGGGTTTTTATTAATTGTGCTAAACTGGTAGGTACAGAGGAATACAGTAACTTTAACCTAGAAGAGCCAGAACTCCATCTTGGGCAATATAGCTCCAGTTTTCAAACGTTACTAAAGCACAGACCATTCAGTGATCAGATTTAGTAGGTCTGTAGCGGTACATGAGACCCTGTATTTCTAACAAGTTCCCAGGCTGTACTGATGTTGGTCTGGGCAGCACACAAGGAGAAGGGAAGCTACACTGCTAATTAATGTACTCTAAGAATCACTCCAAAAGCTCACAGACTCATGGGAGAATGTAGTATTATCATCTACTTTTGATTTGTCAGAGAAAAGCCATTGCCTTACAGGACGTGGGTCACTCTGGCTGTTTTTGAGTAGTCTTCACTTGAAAACAAATTATACTGGATCTCTCTGCTTATTTTAGGACTCATGAAGAAAGCTTCTGATATGAGTCTGCTGGACATTCTCAAGCTAGAAAGAGGTGGTGTTGTAACACATGTTCTCAAGGTGCCCTAGTGTCTCTCTGAGCCTTATTCTTTCCTCTGATCCCAAGAGCAAGCAGGTTATAAAACAAATAGGACATCTATATCCTGATAGTCATCGATAACCCATTCTTTTCAAAGACAATTAGTTAGGTTATACAGAAGAACATTACTCATTACTTCTTAGAAAAACTCCCTGATCTTCGAGAGAGTGCTGAGGACAAATTCTTGGTTAAGAGGGAGTGGATGGAAAAAATGATTTTCTGTTAAACATGGCACTATATTTGGAGTCCTTGTTTGAACATACAGAAACAGATTATTCATTTTAACCTAGTCCTAAAATTGTGCTTTTTAATTGTTCTTTTAAGGAACTCAGTGAGTAATGAAACAGTAAGAACATAAACCTCAAAAGTCACATGAAATTAACCAGACAGGGTTACTTCAGCCTATCTTCTCTCTCTCTCTATAAACGTCAGTATAGACTGCCCAAAACACTAACCAAATTTAAGACAATCGAACAAATTTTGGGGAGAATATGAAGATACTACTTATCTGTCTTTGCATAGCGTCTGCTGGACAGGAACAGATTTTACCTAATACTTAAAGATCACTTTGCCTCTAAAGGCACAATTTTCCACACAAGTTTCTGAGTAGAATGTGAACCCTGACTTTAAGGATTCGTGTTTAAAATATCTCCATGCAAACATCTGTATAGAAGATGAATGTTTTCTTTCTAAGTGGTGGAGGTCAATGATGTGGCCCTAATAACACAAACACAAGACAACACCCACTCAAAAAAATTCCCAAACATGCACAACAACTGACCCGAAACATTGAAAAAAAATACCTTCATTTTTGTCAGGTGATGATGAACCTAAAGTACAGAACAAGAACTCAGTATGTGGCTTGTCGCTTTTAAAACCAGCTTTGAATTTACCCACTGTTCATCTCCTAACAAGCAATATAAAGAAACACGTTCATCCCAGCAGACTGACAGACAGAGGGGCTGATGAGCAGTACATACGCTGAGACTGAGACACCATTTTTGTCCGGCTTCTTCCTCTAGAATCGGTCTTGGCATTCCCCACAGCAGCAAGTGGTGTAGAAAGCTTAGCTCTCACCCGACCTGAGGAATAAATATCAACAATTAAAATACTTCCCATAATAGTATTTAGTAATAAGAAAAGGAATCACCACTATTTTCAAAATTTTTCTAACTTCTGAAATAAGGTAGCCATTATTTACATGTTACACATCTCTTACAAATGTAAAAAACACAGTCTAGGGTCTGCTTTCTGAGATGGCACTTCACCTGGGCTTATCTGGAATTTCTTGCTTTGGAGAGTCTCCTGCCTTAGCTTCCAAATATCTGGGACTACAGCCTGTATTGCACCAAGCCCAGGAATATATTGCTTTATACATATTCCATATAAAAACTAAACTAAACTATAGAAGACTTTCACTCTTTGTTTTTTATTAATAATATAGTGGTTATAACTAATTATGTTGAACATGGTTGTATGTACCTTTAATCTCAGCACTTAGGAAGCAGAGGCAGCTGGATCTCTTTTGAAGTTCGAGGCAAGACTGGTCTACATAGTGAGACATTCAAAAGACAAAAAAAACAAAACAAAATCCCCCAAAATTTCCAGTTCCTACGAAATGAAGATTGTTCTCAAATATACTCCATAGATTTAAATGGCCCCAAGCAATCGTTTTAACTGGCAGTGTACTTCTAAAGAGGTTGTGGAAGAGACGCCACAGCCAAGTAATCTTTTTAGATCAGACAGGCACCTATACACATGGCTGTGCTCACTCCTTTCTCCTGACCAACCATTTTACTAGGAGGGATTCAGGAAGTGGAGTATCTATAGCAGAGTACTTCCCAGATGCATTCCTTTCACATTTACCTACACTCATTCCCTCGGTAAAACCAGACTACAAATATCCTCACTATATTGCTAGAGTTTTGGGGGGAGGGAAGAGGGACAGGGAGTTTGATCCTGCTGGAACTCACTATGTAGATCAGGCTGGTCTGAAACTTGCTGAGATCGGCATGATTACAGACATGCGTCACTCCACCTGGCTATTTCTAGAGTTCTTGAACTAAAGAAAATATGTTCATCAAATTGTCTGTGTAAGCTGCCACTAGCACTAACCAGTAGCAGTACAATCTCTACTGCTAGGCACGCCAGTGCTCTCCAGAGACAGTATCAAACAGATACACAATAATGTTGCACACAGTTTAAAAAAATTAAGAGGCACAATTTGAAGGGAATTCTAAAATTCTGACTAGTCCAATATGACCGTACTCATAAGGAAAGAACATACTGAGGAACAGGACTTAAAAATGAAGGACTGGGTGAGGTCAGAAAAGGTGAAGGAGGCCAGAGTGAAGCAGAGGTAAAATCAGAGCATCATGGGCACAGTGCTGTCAACTACAAGGCCCAGGAGTCCACACTCAGACCTTCAGACTTTAGGAGCTCGCTCTGGGCTAGACAGAATGTCCTCAGAACTGAAAAGGAGTGCAGTGAGGCCTAGTGATTACTTCTGAATAAAGAATTCATCCACAATCTAGCCACATACTAATGGTATAAATTAAAAAGTGCTGAAGTAAGCTGCCATTCATGTCAAAGTTAGAGAAAAAACATCATGTTACAAGTCAAAGGTTTTAATGAGAAAGCCTTCAGGAAAGATAAATATAAAAATTGAGTTCTTTTCACTTCTACAAATTCAGAAGGAATGAATATTTTTTTCAGGTGAACTGACTCAGGAAAGAATATACAGCAAGTAGTTCTATTCTCAAACCCAATTTGAAAATTCCCTAGTCACTGATTCAAAATTAACAAGAGACAATTAAAAATAGATGGAATAAAAGTATTTGATGTCCAACGATAAAGCAGCATACCTACAAAGCAGAAATGACTTGGCATTAACTTTCTTAAAAGCAAAAATAAAAGGAAAGCATTTCTATTGTCATTACTGGGAAAAATGAAATTATATACAAGAGTTTATTAAACATGTTAAGCAATTATGTTTTCTAGTATGAGATGATCTAAGATATAAAGCAAAACTGCATGATGAAGAATTAGAAAAAAATTTACACACATGAACACAACCAAATGTGGGATGCAGAAGCTAGCACAGCTGCAAATGACCAAGGTCTGCAGTTCAATTAGCCTGTTGTAGTTTCAACAGGTAGTTAAGTCCTACCAATGAAAATAATGTGGCAGAGGTATTTGTGTTACTAACAAAATATTTACTTCTTACCATCTTCAGATGCTGTTCCTAAATAAGAGAAATAAAACAATATTTCAACAAATTCTGAAAATGCTACCTTATAATCCCCTCCCCCAAGATTCATCTGAAATGTGAAATCAGAGCATAACTTTTAGTCAGATAGGCTTTAGCCTTGAAAACATTCAAATGAGAAAAGAATAGCTCACACCAAAAAAAGTTAAAACCAGACAACTAAAAGTAGCAAATTTCTTTAGTTAACACTTCTGTATTTCATTCTTAAATTTTAAAAGGATGGAATAAATCTGAAAAATTAATGAATTACTTAAGAACAATTTAACTCTTTAGTTACTTTTCCTTGGAAATAAAGGTTTATATAGACTTTTCTAAAGCAGAAATATTTTGTGCTCATTTTCAAAAGATAGCCCATAAAGCAACTAGGAAAAACACAAACAAACAAACAAATGGTTAGTATAGAAATCAAATCCATGACCTAGGTTCCACTTGCCTATTTTTTTCACCAAAGCACACGCAAATTCAAAGACCCAACAGTTGTCCTTAGCTAATAACTGAGCAGAATTACTTACAATGTGTGTGAGATCTGCTGAAATGAGCAAGCACACCCATGAGAGCACACTAGTGCTACAGGGCAGGGGCGCACATGGCACACTTTAAAATGAGGGAGAGAACAGCAGTGAAGCCTCAAAAAGGTGGTTGATAAAAGAAAAATACTTTGATTAAAAAGTGATAAATTTCCTAAATGCTCCAGCAATATCAAGATAGAGGATATCTAAGAGTCAAGAAAGAGAGAGAGAGAAAGAGAGAGGGAGAAAGAAATCCCCTCCTGAAGGCTGTTATTTCATTCAAAACGTTTTAATTATGAAATGCTTTAAAAAGAGATACTAAAAATAACATGTTCACAACATGAGCTTAAATAAAGCTTCCATTTCATTATAACAGAAAAAAATTGAGGTCAATTTGTAGAGTTTGTGTAATAATTAAGAGAAAAGGTGTCTTGTTTCAGTATCTTTCTACAAATTCTTTAAGAAAGCCCAAATTTCCAGCTAATACTAGAGGTCTTGACAGAGTGAAGAGAAAACCATGATGATTTTCTCTCTGGTGTCACAAAGAACACTGCACAGATCTGTTACTAAATTAAGTAACTACAGACAAACTGCCATAATTCGAATACTGGAATTTAAAAAGCAAAGCTTAAACTTCAGCTTTAATTAAATGTCTCATGTATTAAAGCAAAAGACTTATCAGAGCCCTGTCCACCCTCTGAATCCAGTATTGTAAAAGAAAGTAAGAAATTAAAAATGAGTCCTATTTTTCAGGGTTCATGTGAAATATTTTAGGTACCTGACTTAAACTGCAAAAAAAGTACAAGGAGATCCAAAATGGACATAAATAACTAAAAACTCAACCAGTGAGTCATGTAGCCATTTTCACATTAATATTCTAGATTAATAAATAGTACATTTTCTGAAGATTATAAAAGAATAAACAAGAACCTAATAGAAATGTGGAAAAGAATTATAAAAGTAACTCTTACCATCCATCTTGTCAGAAGTATCCTCTTTGATGAAAGAGCAAGCAAAGAACAGAGGAAAACTTAGTGTATTAGAAAGAAGATGCCATCATCCCCTCCCCTTTCCTTTTAAAGATAACAATTCACTGGACAGGTTCAGGATACCATCTGGCTGCTCACAAATCCCATCTTTTCCCTGAACTTTCAGCTCCTATAATCACACACGGGGATCAACCTAAGAATTCTTTGTCTATTCCATGAGTTGATAGTGAAAAAAAAAATCACACAGCCACATGGTCAAACAGTACTACTGAGACCTGGCCTTTAATAGCTGGCACAACAAAGAGTTAACACAGTAGGATCAACGACAATACTATTATTTTGAGGCCAGGGTATCACAACCCTTTTGCCTCAGCCTTCCTGCAGCCATGGATATATGCCACCATGCTTGGATGTTGTTACTCTTCAGCAAGTCCTGTGTGTGAGTGATGCTGGCTTCCGCTAACTCAGCTCTGAATGCTCCCCTACAAAAATAAGTTTAAGTGACAGCAGAGGCACAGCAGTCTGCCTGAATCACTTTCAAACAGTATGATTTGTGGCAAGCATCTACTTTCTTCTGGGTGTCTGGAATTCTGGTAATTGTGGCTTGCAGCCCCCTCTCCCTACCCCACCCCGGACTAGAAGTCTTAAATGAGTGTCTCTGGCAGATGTACGTGTTGACATGTTGCTGCATTTATGCCAGAGGAAGGAGTCTACCTAAGCCCAGAACTAGAGTAAGAACTAAAGCATACACTGAACACCCAGACGACTGGACCAGGTTTTCTCCCTGTTGGTTCTGCTGTGTGACCTTAAACACTAATAAACCTGTCATGAGCCCCAAATGTATGGCAGTATGCCAAGTCTAAAAATGTCCATCTTCTTGTACCCCACTCAGTGACTGTTGAAAATCTTACGTCTCTTCTCGGACCAAGAATTCCCAGGGAGAAAATTACAATCTTCCAATGATACTCTCCTTAATACCCACCTGCTGCTGCAGACACCATGTCTGAAACTACCACTCCCTCCTTTTCCTTTTCCACTGGCTCTGAGAAACTGCTGCCCTACACAGCAAGGCTGCCTCCCAGGCCTGCTCCCCACATCCCTCTCCTAACAGCTTTCACAGAAGCTGCACCAGGAAGCTCTCTCTCATTATCTTGCACCTCTTTTTTCCTAAACTGACTAATCACATCTGTGAACAGACAAATATAACTCCAAAAAAATCTTTTTAAAAGGAGGAGGAGAAAAGTGCCAGAACTGTGAGGAGCTTCAAAGTTCTTTTGTCCCTTTTCCTGTCCATCAAGCATGGGAATAGTTTATACATTCCATTGCGAACTTCTTCCACAACCAACCCAATTTTAGTTTTCTCCAAATGACCATACCAAAACTATTTGTTTTCTTTTCCATTCAGCTGATTCCATAAGCCCACTTATTGAGGATATGTATAAAAATATGCATGCATGTTAGGTAGGCATTTTATCATGAGCTCTACCTCCAATATAAATACACACAACACACACACACCCTGACCATCTTGTATGACACTAAGCTTCTTCTACAGAAGTTAAGAGGTGAATTTCAAAACACTCAAGCCACCTTTCTGCCAAAGAATTTAATGCTTTAGAGAAAATAAAAGCAAATTAACCAGTGGCAAGCACACTAAAGACTGTATGAAATTTAAAGTTACTCTTTCTTTTTATACCCATTTTATACCAACTCTTTCCTAAACATCTGGTCACACCAGTAACTTCAAGTCAAAAATTCATCAAAGTCAACAAAACCTTTAGCCTCTTATTTCTCATCAACATATGAACAGACTGAAAATCTGAGCACAGAATTACCAGATCCTCAGACCTATCAGAAGCCCTGTTAAGAACTAAATGCAAGAAGTGTTTGCTGAAAAAGAATGATATACTCATTCTAAATTCTGTATGCTCATCCATGATTAAGACTCAATGGAGAAGAAAGTAGAGCCCACCAATCACAAGCATATGAGGATGCATGGGCACAGAGGTAAGGTGTGTGTTGCTATCACCTTTTAGGTAGGTGCTCAGATTTGCAATCAGATCCTCAAACTTGTGTAGCACGTGCTTTACTATTGAGAGAAACATCCTAACCATGTTTTCACTTTCTTATTTCATTGAAATAGTGTCTCCCTATGCAGCCCTGGCTCGCCTGGGACTCAGGGATCTATCTATCTGTCTCTCCAGCTCAGACTAAAGACATGCACCAACATACCTAGCTTTCAGTTTGTTTTATTTCTCCTCCTCCTCCTTCTACCTTTTCTTCCCCCCCCCTTTGTAACCAGTTTTTATTTCATTAGGTTGACAGAACCTTCTGAGCCAACCCCTCAAAGCTTTATTGAGGCAGAGGTCATTATAGTCTCTACATCTCAAGGGAATCTACTCCCCACTCTACATAACAAAACTAAAACAAAGCTGAGCCCAGAGTTTCCAGTACATTCCATGGATCTTAGGCGTGCCACAGTCTTTCTAAACACCATCTCTATCCAGATGTCTGCAGTCAGGAACATCTGTAGCGTGGAGACCATGCATATCATTAGAACACTACACCAAGGGCTGGAGAGATGGCTAGGTGGTTAAGAGCACTGATTGTTCTTCCAGAGGTCCTGAGTTCAATTCCCAGCAACCATGTGGTGGCTCACAACCATCTATAATGAGATCTGCAGACATAACATGGTATACATAACAAAAATCTTAAAAAAAGAACACTACACCATAATGATATTGCTAAACAGCACAAGATTCTATTTAGTGAACAATGCACAGGTAGAGTAAAGGAATGTCTTAATTCCAAAAAAAAAAAAAAAATCAGATTATAAGGGCATAAAACAACAGCCCAAAATCTGGGGTAGAAGGTTTTTTTATTACTTGGTATAATTATTTAAATACTAGATTACTGCAAAACCTTTTAACTTTATTGTTATTATTATTACTATTCTGTGTGTATTTATACGGAACACATATGGAGGTCAGAGGATAATTTACAGTACTAAGTTTCATCCTTCTGTCATGTAAGTCCTGATGATTAAACTCAGTCCATCAGGCTTGGCAGCAGCTGCCTTTACTTACTGAGTCAATTTGACGGCCCTGGATCTAAACTCATAACATTTAAAAAGGCTTCACACACTAAACTGTCATTTAGAAAATAGTGTATCATATTAATTCACTTCAGCACTGTTTTTGATAAGGCCCTGTTCATCACATTTTCAACGACAGTGGGCATTTATCTAAACTTCCCTTTATATTTATAGGTCTTTTAAATTGCATTTGTTTGACCATGGTTAAAGACCAACATTTGTTTTGGTGTTTACAGGGAGCAGTGGTTATGTATTTTATTTTTATGATCTATGTAAGCACATTTGCATTCAATTTGGAAAACATTATCATCGTAGCTTTTCTTGTGGAATGTGACAAAAATTGTCTCACAGCTATTTGACTTTATATTTTCATATTAGACTTAAGACTTTTCAACCATAGTTGCTTTTATATTTAGACATTTTTTTTTCTGTGATGTGAGATTAGATGAATGATTATCTGTTTGGTTTTCAATAGTTGTCTTACAGTTTTGTTCCATATTCTGGTCATCTAGAATGAGTTATAACAGTGTATATAACAGGTTATAATTTATACTTATAAAAATTGGAAATACCTGTCTCAACACCATGCACTGACTAATCTATTCTTACTTTACCATTCTAAAACAGTGTCTGCCATTCTAGCACATACAAATTCATGCCCCAAATCTGTGCTCTTCACTATATGCCAGTCCATCACTACAACCGCAGAAGGAAAACAGAAGTATGCAACACTGACACAACAGGGATAACCAGCCTTAAAACTTTAAAGTTGATGGATGGGAAAACATACAAGAATTAAAAAACAAAACAAAACCAACAATTGCTATGGGAGCACATTCTGCTCCTTCAGCCAATAGCCTTTAAGATACCAGCCCACTTGGGCATGGTCTCTTATACTGTATAAACAGCAGAAAATGCGAGTCTGCTCTCTCTTGCTTCAGGCTCCTCTATTCCTGTTTGCACAGAGGACTGTTGTCTAGGACAGTGATCTGTAAGTTTTCCCCCTAAATAAATAACCCTTTTATTATCCATAATTCTGAACTAGTGTGGGATTGTTTTGTGACTTAAGTCTTCAAACAACCAGTCCCAACAAACATTTGGAACGCATATCTAAGTTTGATTAGACACAGAAGTTCTCCCTTATCCCTGAAGGTAAAGGAATAGATAACCATTGGGTAGGTGTGCCATTAGTGCGGTTAGGAAAATCCTATAGGCAATCCCATAGGAATCAAGAACAAGGTTTAATCAAGATGAGGAAGACAATGTGGAAAAGCAGAAACAAGGTGGCTGATAGGTACATGGGTCATCCCTAGCAGGTAAGAAGGATATAAAAATCGGTATGCCATAACATTTTGTCTTCACTGAGACCGGGAAAGAATGCAATAGGCTGTCTTACCAAGCGATGCATAGGAACCTGGATTCAGGGCACCGGCCCCTAACCGCCCACTTCGCACAGCCTGTCCAGCGGCATGATGCGCTTTGGCACCAGCTGCAGCATTCACATCGATGTCACTTCGAGAACGCTGCAGGCTTCCTGGAAGGGAGCTGGTTTTACTGCCTCCCACTGACACTATAGAAAACAAGTAAGCCTGTGTTTATATTGTTGCAAACAAACGGTAACACAAGAACTGGAAACTATCATGAGCTAATCATCTATGGCAACACACGATCCACAAGGCAGCAGTGGCCAAATGGACAGCACTGTAATGTCACTGTCAAGTCAGAGTGCCTCAGTTTGTTACGCTACAATAATTTTCGTTAGTAATTTTGAATAGTTCTTTGCTTCCATTTTCTCCCACAGGAAAATGGTGAATTTTGGCTATAAAACTGACAAGTCTGTTTTGGTATTTGAAAAGGTGATATCTAGGATTGATTTGGGAGAACGAAACCCTATAACATATGACAGCATTATTATTCTTGACTACTAGAAAATGCAAAAGTTACTGCAGAAATGGGAATATTGAAAAATTAATCGAGGTTTGTTCCTCTCAGGAAGTCTGAGCCAAGTCATTAAACTTCTGAAATTTAGTTTCAGTTTTTAAAAGAAGTTTTAGCATACTATGAGCCAGCAAGTGTTAATAGTTGTGAAATCAACCAAGTGGATCCTATTCAGCATTTTAAACACATAAAACAGAAAAGGAAACTGTTCACAAAAGTCTAGGTAAGCACTGCTTCCCAAAGCTTCGGCTGATACACATGCACACAGAGTCACAGTGTGTGCATGCATGTGTGACCCTGGGTTATGAAAATATTTTCTCATTGCAGATCATATCAAAGGAGTTTAAAGGCTACTGCTTAGTGACAAAATAAGCAATTACCTCTTCCAGCCACAGTTGATGGATTCGCTGTAGACCACTTAGAAGAAAAGGGACGACTGGAAGGTTAAAAAAAAATGCTTTAGTAGGAAGACTTAATAGATCGCTTTGAGAATGAAATAGCAACTATCAAGAAGGTTGAGAATTTTTTCTTTAAAAACACTTGTTTTCAAGAACTAGCAATAAGGCAAAGTAATTGGCAATGAAAAAATAGAGATCAAGTTACTTTCTTCACTCTGGTTTTTGGTATATAGACAACTCAATGTTAGCGCTACCAGTTACTTGTGTCCCAAAGTATTTTACTTAGAAGAAAGAGACAGTGTGGTTATTACTTGCATCCAGGCAGCAGAGCACACTAGATTCTGTCTCATGTGACTTCTCCAATGTCGTGTCCTGGAAATGCACCACTCACCGTATCAATGATTTTACGGGTATAAAGAAATGCACAGAAGTCTAATGCTCCCAAACATGAACATATAGAAACAAAATGTGGATCATTAAATTCTTAAAATGAAACTCAAAAAATAGATAAACTAGTATACAGTCTATCACTAACAGTAGATCAAAGAAATTAAGTAAAACCAAGTCATCTTTTCAAGGTCTTAGCAGATGCAAGCTCTTCAACTGAAGGAGTTGGAGTGAGGAACACACATAACTATCAAGTGTATGACCTTACTTGAGACTTTCTTGTGAGCTAGATGAGGACCTGTCTGACTGTGGAAGAGACGCTACACTGCCAGAACTCTTTAAGTAAGTTTGAAGACTTTTCTGATATGATGGCTCAAGGGAATTATACAACGTTTCAGCTTCACCAGGAAAGTGGTTCCTGAGACCCATGTATGTTCTGTAAAGAAAAGAAAAGTACATTAGTAACAGCTTGTCATGACCAGAGGAATACAAACTCACACCTCTTTAATGGATTCACTGTGTCAGTTGAAAATTGGGTAAACTGAGTGAATTCCTGTGGAAAAATTGCAGGTTTTTGAAAAAGTAGGTTTCAGTTCACAGCCTAACCAGTCACTAACAGTTCATGTAGCCCTAAGTGAACCCCCAATCTAAGACTTCAGATGCATCTATGAAGACAGTATCACTTTTTCAGGATTATCTTCAGAATTAAAAAGTTAAAAATAAGCCAGCTGTGATGGTGCAGAAGGCAGAGGCAGCTGGATCTGTGTAAGTTCAAGGCCAGGCTGGTGTACAGAGTGAGTCAGGTCAGCCAGAGCTACAAAGTGAGAACCTGTCTCAAAAAGGGTAGGAGTGAGGGGTGCACCAAGAGCCTTAGTTAGTGTTAGGAGCATAATACCTGCGCAATAAATGCAGTTTTCTTATTGACAATGAAAGTGAATACTCTCTAATGGAATGAGAACAATGATGATGTTCTATGTCCAGCAAAGAGTTAGTGGATAAAATGCATTTCAGTTCTGCTGAAGTGTTAGTCAAACAATAACGGAGATATTGGTGATACAATCATCTCTCAATGTAATTCATTAAGAACAACAACAAAAGTACCTCAAAGTATGTTTAATTAAGTTTTCACAAAAATATAGAACAGACTTACTTTCTTGCCTCCACTCTGGCCTCAGCATCAGCATCATGAATTCCCTTCTTAATAGTTTCAACCAAGACAGCTGCATGTCTACACAACAAATGCATCTTTATGTTAATACTTAATATTTCACCATGAATAAAAGTTTTTCCTACATGGTACACATCTACCCCAAAGGAGGGGAAAAAGTGGTGAAATAACTAAGATTGTAGCATTTTTTTCCTCCTTTTCCTTTCTCTCTGTAAAGGTAGAGTGTTGCTATACAACCCAGGAAGGTCTTAAACTCCAAACAATCTTCCTATATCAGACTCCAGAGTGCTGAGACTGCCAGTGTGTAATACAATACCTACCACCCTTTATTCTTTGAGATAAAATCTTTCTATGCAGCCTGAGCCAACCTGACTTAGTTTTCTCTCCCCACCCTTCAACTAGGTGGGATGACAGGTATGGCATGCTCAAGGATTATAGGAGTTTCTAACAATTTGCCCTAAACATATCACCCATATATTGCTACCTTCTGATAATTCAGCGACTATCAATCTCAAAGTAATTATTTTCATAGAATTCTGACAACAGGTAAATAAATATTCGGTATTTGAATTTAAAACTTATTATAAATTTGAGGGTGTAAAATATCCGTATGGTTGGCTCTTCACTATCCCACAATTGTAAAAAATTATTTGTTACAAGTATGATATACCTCAGTGGTTCTCAACCTTCCTAATGCTATACGACCCTTTAATACAGTTCTTCATGTTGTGGTGACTCCCAAATAGTTATTTTCATTGCTACTCTATAAGTGTAATTTTGCTAATGTTATGAATTGCAATGTAAATATCTGATATGCAGGACATCTGATATGTGACTCCTATGAAAGGGACATTAAACCCACAAAGCGGTCGCAACACACAGATTGAGAACCACTGATCTAACCAATACATAAATACCTGCCACAAAACAAACACTTGAATAAAAACCTTTGAATTACTTCATGCTTATGATTTCAAAAAATCCTATTAAAAAACAAAGAAATAAACAAAACCTGTAAGAGCTGTAGAGATGGCTTAACAGTTAAGAGCACATACTGTTTTGCAGATGAATGGAGTTTGATCCCCAGAACCCACATCAGGTAGTTTATAGCTTACTATAACCCTAGCCTCAGGGGATCTGATACCTTTGGCTTCCTAGGGTACCCATACTCCATGGACATACTCACACATACAATTTCTTAAAAATTCTTTAAAAAAAAACTGTGAAGAATTCCATTAAAATAGAAATCAGCAATATACTCAAAAAATCAGCAGTACACTCATAAAAATGCAGGTTGTCTCTGATGTCTGGAAAATAAAAGTAGCATGAAATAGTACTGACATAGCCCTGGACAGAGCTAACTAGCTGTTCACACTTTCCCTCATGTCAGAGTTACAATGGCTGCTGTCCAGTGACACCTGTCAGCTACTGTGGAGAAACAGTCCAACAAATTCTTGTTTTTTGTTTGTTTGTTTTTGTTTTTTGTTTTTTAGATATCTTCCTTCAAACAGGAGGCCCTTTCTTACTTCTGACAAACCATTCATTACATGAGAGACTGCAATTCAAGGAACCTACCTCTTATAGTGCTTTTCAAAACGTTTTCCTAATTCCACACGAAGGATGTTACATACCCTACTCTACCTAAGGGGCCATCACACAACCCACCAAAGCCACACTATTCACTGCTGTGAGTACAGGAGGACAGAGCACCTCAGCTCTAAGGAAGAAAGACAAGGACAAATATCTCTAGACAAAATCAGAAACAATGTAAACCACGCTTCTGTATGACTGCTGCCATGAGAAGGGGAATAGATGTGTGTAGGGTGCCTACCTTTCCAGTGAATGAGTCTGCCACTCCTGCAGCAACAGATCTAAAAATTCAAATGAACGCCTGAAAAACAAATGCTAAATTACAATTAAACATACTCAGAAACACATTCATACTTTCTTTCAAAATACTTCATTTTCCCATGAATTAAACACAAGTCAGGGCTCAGTGATTAAGAGCTTCCAGAGGAGCAGGGTTCAACTCTCAGCACCCATAAGGCAGCTCACAAGTGTCCATAACTCCAGTTCCAAGAAATCTGATACCTTGACACCAATGCACATAAAACAAAGATTACCTTAGTTAGGAAAAAAAAAAACTAATCTAAAGGACTTAATATTACTATGCTTGATAGCTTAAAGGGACTTTAAGTCCTATAATTTAATTCCAAAATATTCACTAAAAGTAAAATGTCTATGATGGAGCCCAAAGGGATGGCTCTGCATGACTCATAACTCTACAAAGTAGTCCTCTGACCTTCACATGTGTTATGCAGTCCCAACATACATCATACACAGACAGAATGAAATATACAGTGATAGCCAATAAATACATGACTGCCTAGAACTTTTGTTTCTACTTAATTATGTGCACATAGGATTTTAAAGTAAATTTATGTATGTTTTCTCCTAAGCCCTCTAATTCTCAACGTCAGCCCTTCTGTTCTTCATTTGTAGGTTTTGAAAAAAAATGGGCTGTTAGCCAGATTTACTTATGGGCTACTATTTTCTGACTGCTGAGATTTCAAAGAGTTGAACACAGAACTGGTCTAAAAATTTTAAACCAAGTAAAGGACATAACTCCTTATTCAGTCTTTGTCCAATGACAAAGGGCAAACTGGATTGCTCTCCAACATTCAGTGCACAAATACTGGGCCTAAAGATACAAATATGGTCCTTATATTTGTTGTGATCTTGATTCTTAAGTGTTAGGCAATGCTCTACCACCAAACTACATTATTAGCCTTCAGGTCTTAGTTGCTGATGCCCCTAAGTTTTGATGAAATCAAGATAGGTATGATGGTGCACACCTGAAATCTCAGCATTCAGGAACTGAAGGCAGAACAACCATGGGTTCAAGGCCAGCCTGGCAATACTGTAAAAACCTTTTCTCAAAATGAATGAATGTTCTTTTCTCCAGAACATTTTTCTTTATAAAAGAAAAAGAGAGGGACTAACAGACTTGATTTATCTATTTACTGTCTTATACACACAAGATTAGAAACCCTTAAATGTTTCATCTGCAGTCTCTAGAGTGAACTCATTAGCCCCATAATTTACATATGCACTGAGGTATACAATAGTGCAGTTGTAGAATTCTAGATATTCCTAACTCTGTACTCTGAAGAACAAGGCAATTGGTGAACTACATAAACCATACCTGAAGTAATAAGTCTGGTAAACATGAGTGCTCACAACAGTTGCTTTATCCCCCTTCCCTTAAATAGGATGTGGTTAAAAAGCTTGTATCATAAGCTAAAGAGATGGCTAGGTAAGGAAGGGTGCTCACTCCAGGCTGGGGAACTGATTTGGAGGCCCAGGATTCACATGGTTAAAAAAGGAACGTCTACTGATCGCCACAAGTGTATGAGGGCAAGTGTGCATTTTAAGAAGTCATAACTGTTACACTAAATTAAGAATTAAATGTACACTGGGTGGTGGTGGTGCACGCCTTTAATCCCAGCACTCGGGAGGCAGAGGCAGGTGGATCTCTGTGAGTTCGAGGCCAGGATGGTCTACAGAGCAAGTTCTATGACAGGCTCTAAAGCTACACAGAAAAATTCTGTCTCTAAAACAAACAAAAACAATTAAATGTATTACTTAATAGTAAAATTTATATTACAAACCTCCCCTCCTCCCAAACTTACCTCCTCACAGGTACTGATTTTGATGTACAGTTGCTTGTTATTAACGGTATAAGTCTGGGTACATGGGTATGCTGAAAAAGACATTTTAGAAAAGCATGAAAGCACTATGCACATCATGTAGTCCCTGTGTGTCTTATACGTAAGGGCTTAGCTATGGAATAGTCAGAAAGAGTTGCAAATCAGATCTACAGAAACCCAAATTCCCCAAAGAGAGTAATAATGATGATGGTATAGTTTTCAAGAGAGAGTTGTGAAGTCACCAATATGTAATGAAGATAAATTGTTTGCATGCCCATAAAAATCTGTGAGATCAACACAAAGGGTGCGTAGAAATAGTAATCACATGTCAGTGAGATCACAGTATACTCACACTCAATTATAGTGAAGTGATGACTTTAAATGAGCTTTCATTCTGGCTGAATCACACAGCTCTTAAGAGTCTAGTAAGTAATAGTTACTGCCCTTCAATTTCTAATTGTTATGCTTTTCTTTAGTGAAGTAAACACTAAAATGTTCATTATAGATAGAGAATGTATGCATGGACATGTGTCACCTATGGACTGGCACTTTTCTCATTTCTGATTTAGCTATTAAGTACTCCATTTCTGATATTTTATAAAATTATAATATCATTAATTTTTATCAAAATCTCTATGTATATAGCATCCCATACTGTTTACTGCTTTCATGACTATATACACCATCTGTGATTACATACACAAGTACACATATATACATGCATAAATGCATTGTGTTCCATATTCAAATGGGTATATTTTCCAGTCTTTTGCATTATTTACATGTTCTATATTAACTACGCACTGCTTTTATTATCAGAAAAATAATTCAAAAGTAATTATCTTTCTTTTAGAGGTAAGAATAATAATAATATGACTAAATTAGGTATATGGGTGGGGAGGGGGATCTGTGAGAAACCTACCCGAATAATAAATCTGATTGCTGCACAACCAGAAGTTGCCATAACTTTTGCACTATTAGGGACAAGATTAAAAAGTGTAGGTACAATGGCTTCAGCGCCATGATCGAACTTGTTTCCCAAAACCGTTGAAAGGTGGCTACAAAGAAAAACAAGAATTATTTCAATATTAAATACAGAAAAATATTATTTATTTATTTTGAGAAAGAATTCATCCCTAAGGCTAGCATCAAATTTGATTTGTAGTCAAGGATGACTTTGAACTCCTGATCCTCTTGTACCACCTGCACCAGTGTATCACTTAGGAGGTGCCATTCTTCAAAGCCAGCAAGGGCTTAATTCATACTTCTGTCAACTGAGCTACAGCCCCACCCTTCAGGTATCATACCTTTTCTTCTTTTTCCCATCTAGTAACTGGTAATCCAAAGACAAAATATGGCGTTTTATTTATTTCTGTGACATTTACAGATGCTATGTGATCACAGCATCAACCTATGAAAGCTAAGTAAACGTTCAATAAAATTATTACTATGATTGTGGGTTTTCTTCAGATATTTCTACTTTGATACCTGATTATTGATCTAATAAAGAACTGAACTGCAATAGCAAGGCAGGAGAAAAGATAGGCAGGGCTAGCAGGCAGAAAATAACTAGGAGGAGTATCTGAAAAGAGGATCAAAGAATGAGAAAAGAAGGGGCCAGCCACCCAGCCAGACATAAAATAAGAAGTAAAGAAAGGTATACAGAAGGCAAGGTAAAAATCCAGAGTCAAAAATTAGATGGAATAATTTAAGTTAGAAAATCTGACAAGAAATAAGCCAAGCGAAGGCTGCACATTTATAATAATAAGTCTCTGTGTGATCTATTTGGGAGCTGGGAGGCGGCCCCAAAGAGTAAAGAGTAAAACAAAAAACACCGGACAGTCAGGGAACCAGGGCTATATAGTAAGACCCTGAGCAACAAACAAACAAAAGTCCTCAGCAGGAGAGGGATACACTTACGCAACAGTGATGCAAGCTTCTCTGACCACCTGGGATCTGAGATCCTTAGCAGACAGCTTAAGCGCTCCATCCAACAAACGTAAATGCTGAAAAAAGCAATCATATTGTGCAGCCCCAGCAACAAGCAGTGATCTGATTTTCTTAAGCTAAAAGAAAGAAAAATTTCATTATTGTTGGAAAAGGTAACAGTCGACACCATCTAAAGATTACATTTACCTAACTAAACTCAGACATTTTAGTGGCACTGCATGCATCTTGTAAATAAACATATAAAACAACAAAAATCTTTCTAAAAACAGCATTGCAAGTTTAGTTACATGTAGCATAGATACATATATACAAAAACAATACATTTAAATTTTTAAATTATTCATTCTTTTTTAATGTACAGTAAAATTTAATTACCATAACATTGATCATTTTAAAAGATTTAATTTATGACATTTAAGTACATTCATAATGTGAGACAACCACTATTATTACTTATTAATAGACTCAAATCCCTTCCCTTCTGTGCTATGTGGGTGTGTGTGCTTAAGCTTATACAAAGGCCTCACACACATGCTAACTAAATAAGACACAATAAATACATAATAAAAACAAAGTGAGAAAAAGAAAAACTAATATTAAATTGAGTAAAGTAAATAAACAAAACTGTGTTCAGCTGTACTACTGATAGGCTAAGTCAAACTTGCAAGAAATATATTAATTTTTCCACCAGAGGCAAAAACTTTACAAATTTGATAGTATATAGTACCAGAGAGAAAGGCTAATAAAAATGAGTCAAATATGAAAGTCTAAAGTCTTTATTGATTGTCACAGCTGAACACATGTTCTCTCTGAGTTTTGAACAGGAACGCTGCTGAGAAGATAAGAATATAAAGAACGAAAACTTACTGCATTGGCACGTTGGTCCCAGTCATGTTTGTCATCTGACAAAATCTCCCTGATCTTATTTAACGTTTCTTCAAGTTCTCGACTAGAATAGATCTTAAAGAGAAGATTGAAAATTTAAACAACAAATTTTCAGATTTAAAATTATAATAAAATTTCGAAAATAACAAATATAAGCATTGGTATTTGAAATAGTTTATATTTTATATAAACTTTTATATAGTAAGGTCATTTCACACTCTTGCCACCAGTGGAGACAGTTACATACAATAGATGCCCCAATGTTTTTCCCCACTGCCCTTTTTGCCACTTGTCCCCACATAAACAACCTCAAATATACTTGTAGAATGCTTCCAATGGAGACACGTCCAAACAAAAACAGAACAGTTTCTCAAAAACTGCACAAATATACTATTACAACACATTGTTGGAAAGACATGCTTTATTGTTTGCCATAGCCAGAACCTGGAAACAACCTAAATGCTCCTTGACCGAAAAATGGATAAGGAAAATGTGGTGCATTTACACAATGGAGTACTACACAGTAGAAAAAAATAAAGACATCTTGAAATTTGCAGGCAAATGGATGGAGCTAGAAAACATCATTTTGAGTAAGGTAACCCAGACCCAGAAAGACAAATATCACATGTACTCACTCATAGGTGGTTTTTAAACATAAATCAAAGAAAACCAGTCTACAAACCACAATCCCAGAGAACCTACACTACAATGAGGACCCTAAGAGAGACATACATGGATCTAATCTACATGGGAAGTAGAAAAAGACAAGATCTCCTGAGTAAATTGGGAACATGGGGACCTTGGGAGAGGGTTGTAGGGGAGGGGAGAAGCAGGGAAGGGAACAGAGAAAAATGTAGAGCTCAATAAAAATCAATTTAAAAAAAAAAGACAAGACATGCTTTAATTTAGTGTTGAATAACAACTATTTGAAACGGCTCGTGCCAGAAGACTAAGCACACATGTGTGTCACTTACCACATGTGTCACTACAAAGGGGAAAGCAAACCTCAATCAAAACAGGTTCGTCTGGCAACAGTTTACAATACACTATATTTGTTATATATTAAAAGCATTGTATTTATAAATACATAACAAATACATTTATAGTGTATATATTTACAATATATAATAAATGTTATATTTATTATAAATACCACGTCTAATTTTAGTACAGAGGACAATGCAAAGACACTTTCTAAACCATGAAAGAAGGGAAAAGTCAACTGAAAAATTCACTTCAGGAACTTCATAATTTTTCAGAGCCATCTCTTATTGGGATCCCCATGTTTTTCCTAGGTATACAAAGAACACCGGGTTAAGAATCTGTTGTAAAATTCCTCCTTGGTTTCTAACTTCTCTAGCTGACTGAATAACGGTTTCTACATAAAGAACACTGGAGGATCAAGTGTTGGAGGAGAGACTATAATTCTAATTTTAAACAGGTTGTGTTTGAGATGTCTGAGAGACTCCTATAAAAGGAAATGCCAAATAAAACACTGATTGTAAATAAATGTTTCTGATGCTTAGCAGAGGTCTGGCTTAAAGGTAAAATTAGGTACAATCAATATAAAGATGCTAGATAAAGCCATGATGTTGAAGGAAGTCATGAGGCAACAAAATAAAGTAGGAAGATAGGGTCCAGGAGTAACCCTTAATAAACACTTTGAGAGTCAGTTGGCCAAATAAAGAAGGATCCATCTGTAAAGGAAATGGATGTGAAGCAGACAGACAGGAGAGGAGTAAACTAGGAAAAGAGTTTTTCACAACTATTACAGCAAAACTGTGAACCAAGAAGACAAAAATCCCAGTATGAAGCCAGGTGGTGAGAGGCATGAGCAGCAGCTAGCTCTCTGAGTTCCAGGACAGTCGGGGGTTCCACGGAGAAACCCTGTATGTGGGAGGTGGAGGTGAGAGGGATGAAATCTCAGTACGGAAAAGGGGAGGAGCAAAGAGACCCCCTAACGAAGAAGCTACTTGTAATTGATAGCTGATAGTTTTCTTCACTCACACACATACACTTTTAAAATTTTTTAGCTTTTGTCTTATGTGTATGAATGCTTTGCCTGCATATATGTACATGTTCTGCATGTGTGCCTGGTGCCTGTGGAGATCAGAAGAAGTTTTGGATGCCCTGAAATTGGAGTTGAAGATGGTCGTGAGTTGTCACGTAGATGGTGAGACTCCAACCCGGGTCTTCTGCAAGAGAAGTGCATGTTCTTTACTGTCAAGCCTTCTCTTCAGCCACCAAATCATCATCTCATTCTAGGGTAGCACTTGTGCTACATGCCTTTTGTGTGTACTTTGGCTTTTTTCTTTTCTTTTTTGTTGTTGTTTTGTTTGTTTTTTAATTAGAGAAAAAGAATAGGAAGTTAGGCGGTATGGGGGTAGGGAAAACATATGACAAAAATACATTGGATAATAAAAGATTTTAAATAACATTTTTTTTAAAAAAGAAAAAGAAATATCAGGTGCATACAGCTACCTGGAAAGGAGGTGAAGCTAAGAAGGAGCAGTGTTTGGAGGACATGCAGCGCATTATTTCTTCCCTATTGCTGGGGATCGAATCAGAACCTCAGGAATGCTACACGAATATCCTGCCACTAATCTAGACCTTTCACTCAGTTTCTCATTTGTGAAAATGGTTCTCTCTTTTCACCACGTGGGTTCCAGGACCAACTTCAGGTTGGCAGTCTTGGTGGGAAGCACGATTATCTACTAAGCCATCTCACTAGCCCACTTCTTTTTAAGTAGTGAAACCCAGAAATGTTTACTAGGCAGCAAGAAGGTTCTAAAAAGCAAGAGCTTGAACTCACATAAGGTCAATGATCTCTGCAAGTGCATTAAGAAAGTACAAAACAGCAAGCTGTAGAGCACTGTAGGTACTGGTCCCGGGTGAGGGAGGAAGAACCATGGTCCTGAAACAACAGGACAGCCTTCTGAGGCTACAGAAAACAAGTACTTCTGAAAAAGCACAGACATAACCCTAAGAGCATGGATGTCAGGCTGCGAAGCACTTGTGCTATGTATTAAGAGCTGTGTGCTCTGTGATTTCTTTTGTCTTTTGGCAGTTCTTTCTTGGCTAGGAGAGTAGAGAAAAACTGTTATATTTAGAAATATCCATAGTTGTGCTTTTGCAAAATGGGTATTTGAAATTAGAAACAGAAGATTTTAATGCATTATGAACAACATTACTGTAAGAACCTTCAGTGTCAAAGCCTGGGTGAGAAGCAAAATCACAAGTCAGAGAAGCTACTTGGAGTCGGTGGAGAAGACAAATACTGAGGACCTCTGCATCACGGAGGAGCAGCAGCAGAGTCCTGTGCAAAAGCATGGAGGTCCTGGGTAACAGGAGGCATTTTAGTCAATGACTGGAAGAAAGCGATTTGATCAGGAGACATCAAAACTCAAGTGTGTGAGGTGGATAACTCATGAGAATGAAGGTAGAGAGGTGGTCAAAAACTGATGCTTCATCCAGATGGAAAGGAGTTCACGAGTAAGAAATGAAAGAGGAAACGGGGAAAATGGGATAGAGGGCTCTAACTGGGGAGGAGGAGGGAGGTCAATACAGGAGGGCTGAGCAACAACACTAAGGCTGTTTGATGAAGCCTCAAGGAATCACATTATTTTATAGCAACCTAAAATTAAATTACATGCAATGTACGTAAATGTACACACACACACACACCCCTTAAGTGAAGTTACACCACCTGGCTTTGGGCTGACAACGCTCACCACAAGAGCCATAGATTACCTAACAACACCCCCAGTTCTAGGCATGAGAAGCCTCCATTGTTGGTCATGGTAGACCAAATGACTCTAAAAACAATATAGGCTACTACTGTTTCCCCTGGCTGCCTCTCAGAGAGTAAAGAAAGTTACTGTTGCTGCAAACCCACACAATACTTAGGACAGAGGATTTGGGTAATTCAAACTGGATCTAATCTGAAAGCTTTCTTCTTGTGTTCTAGCTTCCACAGTGCCAGAAAGTACTATGCAAGTTGCCAAAGGGAAGCAATCGATCCTATAGAGCTGTGGTGCCTATGAAACAGAACACTGATTATCACAGGAATTACCTAAGGGTGCAATGGTAGTAACTCAAATCTTTGTGATGATCAATGGTTGTCTAATTGGACTTACGGCCACGCACCAAGAAGGAAAACATGCTGGTTGCTAGATGGAGACAACTACTCTAGACTTGTGAGGTCATGGGGCTTGAAAGAGAACCTACTACTGCCCCTATTGCACAATTTCTAACTACACTTTGAAACTTATCCTTAATATCCAGATAGGTGTAGCTCTCACTCCTCATCAAAGAAGCTTCTCCTTAGAGCAAACAGAGACCATTACAGAAAACACAACTGGGGCTGTAAAGTTGGCTCATTAGTTAAGAGCACTGGGTGCTCTTGCAGAGGCCCACATGGTAGCACAAAACCATCTGTGACTCTATCCCAGAGGATCCACGACCTCTTTTGACCTCTGCAGGTACCAGGTATGCATCTTCAAGACAATTCATGTACCTAAGGCTCAGGAACATTTCAGAAGAAGGGTGGAAAGATTGTAAGAGCCAGAAGACCACAAAGTCTGTTGTAAAAACAGCTGCTCAAACAATGACAGAACCAGCAGACATGCTAATGCAGGAGGAAAATCACATTCCTAGACAAGGAACTACAAGCAACTAATGACTGCCGAGAGAGGGAGAATTAGCCTCTCCCAGAAGAGAGGCCCCTAACTAGGTACCCAACACAAAATGGTCAGCCCGAATTCATATACACATAATCAACAAAAACCAGACTCAGTAGTTTGTATTTTATATATTTGTACATCTTTATATATGTAACAATAATAATCAAAGCGGCCATTAATCTGAGAGGGAGATATAGGGGTAGAGTATGGAAGGGGTTAGAGAGAAGAAAGCCAAGGGGAGAAATCTATTATATTTCAATTAAACATATATTAAATAGGAAGAAAGGAAGGAAGGAAG